ATAGTTCAAAGCGTGCCCTTATACCTATTTGGCTACGCTTTATAAGTGTTGCCAAAGGTGACAACATTTAAAAAGTGTTGCCTAATGTCAAAGGTTACGCTTCTTTTGGGCAGCCCCTAAAAAGTGTTGCTGAATGTCCAAAAGTGTAGTCTTTTATCAAAGGCCACACTTTATGCTAGTTTAGGCTACTACAGCCGAAAATGATGTAGTGGAAGGAAAAAAGAGCAACATACAAACATTTCAGCTTAATTGTTTAGCTCTGTATTACTTTTGATGTAAACAAGAAGTCTTATATAGCTTAGAAGTAATCAAAACACAACTATAGAAGTAATTTGCACAACTATGAACTGGTTATAACTTGATAGTTGTAGGATCTTATGTAATTACAACACTTTTGGAGGGGAACTACTCTTTTGAGGTAGTATGTATACCTATGGATAAATATAGATTAATTGTTACTTTTCTCAACAATTTTTTTTTGTATATTGACTTGTGAAGTTTACATAACACGTGTTTCTTACCATTGATGGAAAACCCTTTTGGTTGATCCGCATAAACTCCATCCTCTAAATATGAGATTTCCACATCCATTTGATGTAGCTCTAAGTCATAATGAACTTCTACAATCATTATAATTTTAAGTGGATCTTTATTAAAGATAGGTGAACATGTCTCTTTTATATTCAATGTCATATTCGTGAGTGAAACCTTTTATAACGAGTTTGGCTTTGTGACGTTGAATGTTGCCAATTAAGTCGTGTTTGGTCTTAAAGACCCATGTATATCCAATTCTTTTGAAGTCGTAAGGTAACTCAACAAGGTTTCAAACTTACTTTGTTCCATAGATTTCAACTCATCTTTCATAAGAATTTATCATTTATCAAAATTATTAATTCAATAGGTTGTGAAAATGAAACTAGATTATTATCAATTCCTAAGTCAATTTCTAACTCGTGTAGATATACCAAATAGTCATCAGAAATAGCAGGTCTCATTTTCTTTATGCTACTTTTGTGGTACATAAACCACTAGTTCGTCAATTATGATTTCATTGTGATTGGAAAGATCATTAATTTGTTATTCTGGTGGACTGTTAGGTTGTAAAACAACCGAGGAGCAACAAATATAGAATAAAAGCAAGGTAGATGGATTTGCCCCCAAACTTCTTAATTTCCACTTTATGTGGTTCTCCACTTCTATTAATTTTACTGTTGATATTTAATTTTGATCGAATTTTAACTATTTTTGGAAATGCTATTCGATTAATACATATTTTATTTTAAGTCAATTTTGCATAAAAATTATATATTTTAGTATGTTTACTTTATAAAATTATTGTAAATATCATTAAAATATTTTAAACATTCTTAATAAATTTTGAGATAATTATTTTATCCAAATGTTATGATATTTAAGTGATTTAAATTTTATAAAATATATGATTATATTGGTAGTATTTTAATTGGATAGCAATTTCTTATTTTTCCTCAAAATTATTTAAATTCTAGCCTATTCTATTCTAAGTTGTTTCAATTCTAGCCTATCCAATTTCAATTGTATTTCAATAGTAACCATTTCTTTCCTTTTAATTCTAGCCAATTTTATTACAATTTTGGCCATCCAAATCCAATTCAATCTAATTTAAATCTCATCTTTTAATCGCAACCGTCGATCTTTTAAATTAAATCCTACATCTAATCCTAACCGTCCATAAAATTCTAGTCAATTTAGTTCTAAAAAGAAGACTAAAACCTAATTCCAAGCTTCTCCCTTCTTCCTCTGTCTCTTCTTCCCTCGCCCCATTTTCCTCTTCTCCCCCTTTCTCCGAACGGATCACCGGCGAGCAGCAGCTACGGTGACAACAACACCAGGCGCCTCCGCCTCCCTTCTTCCTCTTTCTCTCCTCTTTTCCCCCTTCTTTTCTCCTCTCTTTTTGCAGGACCGCCAGGCAGCAGCGACCAGTAGCAGCAGCGGCGACGACAAGCAGCAGAGACGACTCCGGCGTGCAACGAGGCGCAGCTGCGGCTCCAGCGAAGGAAAAGTTGCGTGAGGTCAGTGACGCCGGCAGAAAACAGCAGCTCCGGCCATTCCGGTGGAGCTTTTGAAAATTTCGAGTTTTGTTAAACAGATGGATATCACCAGGTAAGTTTTCAATTAATTTTTAGGCTCAGATTCTAATTCTGAGCATAGTATGATTCTTTGATATTGAAATGCCACAACTCGTTTGTTAAGGCTTTTATAATTTTCTGCTTTCATTGTTATATACTCCTCCTTTGTGATGAATTGTATTTGCTAATCCTTTCTACATGTTAATCATACAAGATGAATTGTCATTGTTGATAAATTAATTTTCATATGGTAGTTGGTGAATTGTCATAGTTGATAAATTAATTTTCATATGGTAGTTGGCATCCAGACTACAGTTTAATTTGCATCCAATTATCCTATATTTGTGATTATTCAATAATTTGGTAAACCCTTCATTATTTTTTAATTCCCCTTAATTGGCGTTGTACTGGATAACTTTTGTAGGAATTGGTAAATCGGATTGATGCTCGTTTCTTTCAAACCCCAATAATCTGTAAATCAATTTGCTGATTTTAGTCGATTTTCTCTCTTAGTGGTAAACATTGTTTCCATCTTGCCACTAGATTTTTATATATTTTTAAATTTCTTTTAGATGATAAACTATTGCAGGTGAGAAGAATATTGCTTTGGGTAGATTTTCTTAAAAAATAACTTTGTTTGTTCGTTCTGGATTGTATCAATTCGTGTTTATATTAATTTATTCTTTTCTTGCTTATTTTACCAGGTGTATTATGAGTAATTGATTTCTTTACCTTAATTATAATTGACATATTTCTTACTTGGTTATTTTTGGTAAAAAATAATAATTTAATATTTAACTTTGGCTCTTCTTTATTTTGAATTTTAAATATTTATATGACTCTAAACTTTCTCTCTATATGATATAATTTGGGGAATCGTCTAAAGGGGGAGGAGGAATTACATGCTACATCCTTCTCTTATTTTCATTCAAACATATTAGAAAGCATGCCTATAAGAATTAGTTTATATGCTTTATTATGTTTGTCAATTTTGCATCATCAACTTAATTAAGATAAAAATAAATAAATTATAAGATTACTACTTGTGCTTAACTATTCATCGTGATTATTGTTCACCACAAAAATAAGGATTTTTATGTTGACCATATGGAATGTTTGAACCTCTTGACATGTGCTCAAAATTAAGCTCATGTAAAATAAATGAACTTAATTCTTTGGTATGGAAATAATTCGGTCACTTAGAAATCATGTCAATAGCATTTAAATAATTCTACATATATAATCTGGGAATAGAATTCATGTCTATTGGTTTATTAATCAATTTTTCCAGCATGTTGTCAATAAATTTAAGGTTCCTAATAAACTAGTTAATTAATCTATATTTGTTTTTACCCCCATTTTTTTTTGCAGTTTCAGAAAAAAGTTAATTAATCTATATTTGAGACAAATCTGTCATGTTTGTATTGTTGCACTTGTAAATAAATTCTTGCAATGCCTTTTTTTACCACTTTAAACAAATGAAATCTGTTTCTGCATTAGTGAATATGCCACCTTGCAATATGTAAAGTAACTAACAAAATATTTTCTGCACATTTCTTAAAACCTACATTATCTACAACTTAAAATAAGTCACAAATATTCAGCATGCTTATTTAAAATCTGCCCATGTTAAATATTGTTGCACTATTAATAAACTGTTTTCTGCCACTTCCAAAATCGGTGTTAACTAAAATTTGCATTGCTGTAATAATTTTTTGTTACCTCTAAAATCATTTAAATAATCATATGCATGCTTTTAGATCTGTCCATAAATAATTTTGCAATGTTTAACTTATTGTTGTCTTAATTTTTGTATGTTTGTATGTTTGTAGCTCACACACTTCACATGAGACTTTTCACAATTACGTGTGTTTGTTAGCATGCTAATAATAAAATGTAGAGGCGAACTTGAGACTTTAAGTGTCCAATATTGTCCAATCTTTTCTTGTTTGGTGTCTAGGAGGGCCATATATTTTATTTTGTCTAAACCAACCTATTAAGTCCAATGCCTCTCAGACGTTAAGTTGGGACAATTAGGCACCTTTTAGATACGAAACGCATGCGGTGGTGGGGTAGGGGTAGTTGGCCCTATGGAGATGATGACATGGACTCATGCTTTAAAAGACAAACTTTGGTTTTGTCTGTCCCTATACGAAAGCCTATGAGAAAAATAAAAGAAGTCGAGTGCTGATCCAAAAAGTCTCTCTTAGAGTCTCCCTTCCGTTTTATCCCTTTATTTGCTTGTTTTAATTATATTTATTTGGGGTAACTTAAAATAAAATAACAAAATAGTTTGCTTAGATAATTGTGTAATTTCTGTTTCCTCACTTTTCTCTTTATTAATTTGCTTTGTATTTGTTATGTTTAATATTGTTATGACCTAGTTTGGCATGATTAATTAACTAAACAATAAAGTGATCTTAATTGTTTAAAATTATCATCACTTAGTCTTGCATGTTTAACTAGTTAATTTAAAATAATAAAATTACTTTAATTGTTTATTGTTAACACTTAGTCTTTGCATGCTTAGTTAACTTAATAAATAAAATAGTCTTAATTGTTTATTACGCTATCACTTAGCCTAGTAGGCTAAATTAATATTAATTTATAATATTAATGTGAACATATATATATATATATATATATATATATATGGGGTCTTCTGAAAATATATTATCTTATTATCATATCGAAATATGTTATTTTTCATTGGCCCAAGTCGGAACCAGTGGAAATCATTATCTTGGAGAGATTATTAATCATCGAATATTAATTTAGTGAGGTTTTACAATATATACACATCTCTAAATTCCTATATAATTATATATTGTACTATTAGTACGATATCGATATGTTAACATTTAGCCTAAAGCCCATTAACAATTTATCGCAGGAGACTCGAAATCATGGCGCGGAAGAAGGCGCAAAGGGATACCAAACCGTCGGCGAAGAAGCCGAACCAGAACCGTATGAGCAGCGCTGAGCGCTCGGCACTCTTTGCACGTAGAGAAGCTGCAAAGGTTTTGCGAACTATTCTACAAGGAGACGCTCGACGTCGAGCCGTTGGCACCATCAAGTCGTTGGTTTATAGTCCCTCTGTCAGGAACAAAAGAGCTACTTATGCTTTGGTTTGTCAAACTCTCAAATGTAAGTTCACCAACAGAATAATAGTAAATACTTAGGATGCATTTAGAAAATCATGTTGTCTTATAGTATTGAATAGAGATTGAGTTCAAGAGAAAATAAAGTTCTTGGACTGGCAAATAAAGGAGATGAGGTAAAACTTAAAAGTCAGGTAAGTGGTAGTTATTAGCGTTGGCTTTAGACCTTGAAAAAATATGTAGTAATTTACTATCTCAAAATGATAGGAAACAATCTAGCTAAAAGAAGAGCGAATACTTAGGCAATTCGCTTACCAAATTTTCAGCTGCTAAGTGCAAGTGAATACATTTTCCACTGACAAAAATTGCTTGTCGGCTTGCTTGGTCAACTGCATTTTGGAAAATCATTCCAGCTTTAATATAAGAGGAAGCTCAGGCAAGAAGTGATCATGGGATAATTAACCTCTACAGGCATTAACCTGAAATGTTTCCGTGTAACTTCTCATGTATTATGGAGAAAATTGTTTGCGCTGGAGTTTGGACACCATTGGAAAATGTGATGCAGTTATCTTTGCTGCTTAAGATTGATTTTACTTTTATGGAAATAAAGGTATAGTAGGGTAGTTTTCATGATCGAAAGTATCTAATTGTCCTCGTCACTTTTAGTTGTTTGGAAATTTTAAGAAGCATGATTCATAGCTTGTTTTTAGGAGCTTTACTATAGTAATTGTTTTCATTTTTTTTGTTTGTGATCTTATCAAAAAATCACCTTTAGTACATGTACCTCAGTGGCGCAGAGTAGTCTTATTAATTTTGAAATATCAAGGAGACAAGGACTTAACAATAACATATCAGAGGCTATTTTATTTACCTTTGAAATAGCTGAAGCTGAATTGTCAAAATGAGCTATTAAAGCCTAAGTCGATGGGTCAATGCGAAGCAAAGGGTTTTCAATTGATGAGTGAAGACACGTGCTTCATAGAATTGTGCATGTGACACAGTGACACACAAAGTGATCCAACAATAAACAGTCAGTTCTTTTGAATCTCAACTTTGAGAAGTTGGATTGTTATCATTATTATTCCATCAATTCCGATTTATGTTACACTATTTCTGAATTAGCTTGTTCCAAAAAGATCACATATTTGAAAACAATAGATGTTACACTTTTCATTTTACCCTTACTGGTAACATTATTCTAAAAAAAAGCGCCCTTAATGTGAAGCATATAGTCCCACACAAAAGTTATGACATGTTTTAAGTCCAGACGTTTTAAAGCTTCATAGCCACACAAATATTATGACTTGTTTAAGACTGCGAGTCTTCAAAAGTCTTCATTTCTTTTTTAAAATCTCTGCTGATTCAAACAATTTCACATAGTCAAGAATAGAGGGAATGCTGTTTATCCAATACTGGAATTAGTTATGTTTATTGCACTTGAATGTTTTAGTACTGAATTCTTACATGTTTGGTATTTTTTAATTTTGTAATTTTCTCTCTTCACTTCAAGGAAGAGTGCACTTTGCTTATTGATTTTCACTTCAAGCCCCATAGATTTTGTCCCTTTTTTGTGCCTATTTTTTTTAAAAAAGCACTGATGTTAACTCAGTGACTCGAATAATTCTTTCTCCATATCTATGGAAAAGGTCCATCCCTTGGCTTCCTAATTGCAAATGTTTTGGATTCTTCCTTTTTACAGATCTTCCCGTTATCAAGGATGTCTTTCACACTACCAATGTGCTGAGTAGCAAGTGGAAGGTTAGAAATACTTTCCATATCTGAATTTTCATCGACGGTTAGATTTTGACACTTTCACTTCTCTCATTGCATGATATGGGGCTTAACTGTGAGACATGAGAAATTCTTGTTATCTGCCCAAAAGGTAGGGGTAATGTCTCATACATCCTACCCTCCCTGGACCCCACTTGTGGGATTACACTTTGCGTGTTGTTGTGTACTAGTTGAAGATCTTCCTCTTTTTTGCTCTCTCTTTCTGAGTAATATTTTGAATAACTCGTGTTTGACACTCTTACCTGTTCCTCTTTTGTATATCTTCTGTTACTTTTTTTTAAAATAATAATTATGTTTCAGCATTTTATGTTGATTAAATAAGATAAAGTTATTGACGGATGGCAGGCCATCTCCGAAATATCAAGTAAATATACGTTATCCAAGGTATATATTTTTCTGATGCCTTTCTAGGAAGAGCTTAAGTTGCATAAGTTTTTCAAAAAACTAATGATTTTATCTGTGTGGCATAAGTATGCAATTATATCATTTTCTTTGTAATCAATGTCATTTTCAACTTTATCTTGGGAAAACCCCTGAACTTTTTGTCCAAGTCAGAATAAATCTTGTTTCTTGAGTGTTGCTTATTGATATTTCACAAGCCCAAGAACAATGGTTTTAATCCAGTGTACCAGGCTAGCAGCTCAACTCAATATTTCAAAAACACAGGAGAGTTCTTATTATTCGTCACTTCCTTTTTAACTGTAGGCTCAGTTAAATGTTTCTACTGCCAACCACATAGGTAAGATAATTTCTCCTTACTCATCTTTCACTTGCTTTCCTGAAGTACTATGTTCTTAACATAACCTGTTAACCCTGTTTACATCAACTATTTTACATGTTGGATAGACATCTTTGGTGTCTAATAGTTTGGATTTTTCTGCTCAACAGTAATTAATGAATTATTGCATTATGAAACATCCATATAAACTGTAAGTAGCAATTGGGAAATCTGATATTTTGTTATGGAACCTTGCCAGTGTTTTGGAAGTAAAAATGTTAGTAACATATAGCAATACATTATGGTGATCTATAGAATCGACTGGACTTAATCAAGATACAAACTTCTGGAATTTCATTTCTCATTGATTCAATTGTGGACTAATTTGCTGCTTATGTTGTTGCAGAGGCAAGAAGAATTGATGTATATAATCTTGTATGACATCCTTTTTAGCCAGGTATTTGTCAATATACATCCCCAGTGGGTTTCATTGTTTTGGGCTCTTGCTTATGGTGATGGTTTAATCTTATATAGGAGGTTTTGTTAGCTGGTGATGCAGAAAAGTTTCTACTGCAGAAAAAGGATGTGTTGCAGGCAGCACTTGCCAAGCTTTTAGTTCGAAAGAAAGTAAAACATTTCTCAGATTTGATGACTTCTTATAAAATTTCTGGTACGTGGTTCAACTCCTAGTCTGTTGATGGTGGCTAGGTTAAAAAAGGGGATATACATAGTTCAAACTTGTCAACGGACTTCTTAAATATAATTGAACTGACAAGACCCTTTCTTTATAAAAAAATAGATGGAAAAATATCTGTATTTTAAGTTGTGTCGGATTACACTTGCTGTATTTATTATATGGAGCAGAATAAGCAGTCTCGGATGTGTCACTACAATCTTGTTTTTTGTTTTCATTGCAGACCTTCCGAAACCCCGTTATGCTCGTGTAAATACTCTGAAAATGGACGTAGAGTCTGCCCTAGTCGAATTTAAGAAACAGTACGAGGTATGATATAATCCTTACATGCAACAGTTGTTTTACATCGCCTCAATAATTGAAGTAACTTTAGTGTCATTTGACTCGGTAGAATATAGGTGGAAGATGTGTCAGAGATAATTCCTTGTGTCAAAACATTCTAAGCCAAAATCTGATCCCGACGATCATCTTTGGTGTACTTAATCTTTGCAGTACTTCCTCTAATGAATTGTTTGCCTGACTAGTTTATAGATTTTTATCCAGTTTTCATGATAGTTATATAGAGGTATGATAGACCTAGCGTTTACATAGACGTTTGTTTAGAATATTGAGATAAAAACAAATTGAGGTCCTAAAATTAAGAAATTTCCTTTCAGAAGAAAAGTAAGAGGGGGTGGGGTGGTTCCAGCTGTTCTAGTATTTGAAGAGTGGCTTCTTAATTGATAATTGATGTATTGACTTCACTTGGGGGGATGGAGGTAGAAGGCATACCTAAAGATACTAATAAGCTACAGAAATTGGTATACTTTAGAAGTATGTAGTACCACAGATTTTTCATGTTTGTCAATTCAATGATATCATTATTGTTCTATTCGTGTCCTTATTTGATAAGAAAATTATTGTGAATCAATTCTGCATTGAAGAAACAATCAAATATTCATTGATCAAATCATTCTCTATGACCTGATAGATCTTTTGAAGAACTGATTAATCGGGCAAGAATAAAGATAGAATCCGATTTACTTTTTTATTGGTGATGCATTCTCGTTATTATAAAGTTTATTTATGTTTATTTTTCGGACATTAAATAGGTTTGTCAGGATGCAATGGTTCCTGACCTGTTGATTTTACCCCCAAGGACTGACTTGCATGATCATCCTTTGGTGAAAAGTGGAAGTGTCTTTCTGCAGGTGCAAATTTCTCTTTCTTAGAATGGAATTTTGATGTGAATACAATAAGGAGTTTCTGGTTATGCAATCCTTTCTCCTCTTTTGGGTTCCATCTAGTTTTCATTGACATGCTACTAATGTCCCTTGACCCACTAGGGTAAGGCAAGTTCCATGGTTGCAGTTGCTCTTGGGCCTAAACCCAGATGGGAGGTAATTGCATAGAAAAAGAGTAGTTAGGTTCTCTAGAGTTTCATTTTCTACTTGGCTGTTGTTCATGGTTGTTTATTGTTCTGTGAAGGTCATTGATGCATGTGCGGCACCAGGGAACAAAACTGTTCATCTAGCTGCTCTTATGAAGGGAAATGGAAAGATAATAGCTTGTGAACTTAATAAAGAAAGGGTTAAACGTCTGAAGGACACAATTGAACTGGCTGGAGCGACTAGTATCCTTTCAATAGCTTTCTGGTATCATGTCCACCTTCTCACATAAGATTGCTACAGAGGAAATCTAACCATCACTTGATTTCTGGGTCGACATATACCTAAAGTGTATTGGAAGCCCTTAAAATATGTGCTTAGGTCCTTGTTTTTTTAAAAAAATTATCCCATCTCTAAGTAATTCCAGTAATCTCACAATTTTCACTCAAACTGGATGGAGTTATTAGTTTCATATGGCGTTACACTTTTAATACCATAAACACCTCTTTGCATTAGGTGCCTGAAGTTTATATTTGAGGAAATATGGCTTTTGAAACTGCACATATCTTTAGTTGTTTCAGTTCCCTATTTCAAGTAATCCTAAAACAAGTTAGGTATATGATAATTTGTCTAATTGGTTTTAGTTTCATTGTTGCCATAATATGCCTCGATAACTTAACTTATCCAAAGATGTGGAAATCAAGCATGAAGACTTCTTAAACATCAGTCCTGAGGATCCAGCGTACTCGAAGGTAAACATACAAGACATTTTTTGGGGAATGAGGCGTCATTGGTTGTCAGATATTATCAACTTATTGAGTGAAATCTATTACTTTTGTGTATCATTTTAGTGTATCCAGAACAAGCATTAAAAAGAGACAAAATCCTTCTTGTTTCTGGACTGTGTGAAAAACAAAAAAAGGATATCAGTCAGTATTGGTACAACCATGAAGACATATATTTGATTTGGGGTAATACGGGGTTACACTCTGATTAGTTTTCCTGAATGATGATGATTTTACAAAATCACATTTTCAACAAGCATGGTTTCAACTTTGTTTTCCTCTATTGTGTTTGGATTTTTAAATGATGTCTTTTATTTAACACATAATCCGGCCACCAGGTTCAAGCAATACTGTTAGATCCATCATGTTCAGGCTCTGGGACTGTTGTTGATAGATTAGATCACCTGCTCCCCTCATATACAACAGGTGATTTTGCTCTTTATGTACTCATTTTGTATCTTTTGTGTAACCATCTCTATGCTTTTCTCGTTTTAAACTAACATCTGTAAAAGCTTTGCAGACTCTGATGTCAATAGACTAGAAAAGCTCGCGGCTTTCCAGAGAAAGGCTTTGGAACATGCATTATCTTGTGAGATTTATTATATTGTTTCTTGTTTTTCTTTTCTTTTTTAATCACAAATGGCAAATTCATGTATGTTTGTGAATGCAACTGATCAATTTACCCTCTCATCTTGATGTAGTTCCAGCTGTTGAGAGAATTGTTTACAGTACATGTTCTGTTAACCAAGTTGAGAATGAAGATGTTATCAAATCTGTTCTGCCTCTCGCTTCGTCTTATGGTTTTGAACTGACAACAATCTTTCCCCAGTGGGCTCGCCGAGGTCATCCAATTTTTGATGGATGTAAGTGATCATACATATCTCACAACCTTTCTTTATGGTGCTTACCTGATCCTAGTATTTTAGAATCAAACTGTGTTCCAAAAGTTGGTCAAACTAGACAAATAAAGAAAGAGCACAGTGAAATGAAAGAATATTGTTCTTACAGTTTTCAAGTGCTCTAATAAGCAATTGCAGGCATCATATATTTTCGTGTTCAGTTGCTTGTAGTCTAAGCTAGATCTAGTTGGCCAAATGAAACTGTTGCAATTATATTCTTTTAGTAAAGTGTCATTTATCTTCAAAAGGCCAACATGTCATTAGACAGAAGACTAAACTGCAAGTTATACCACCTTCAATAACATATAATATTTGCATTACACTGAAGGCTATAGGAAAACATGCATGTATGAGCTCTGTAAATATATATACAGTACCATCCTGAAGAACAGTAACACAGTGTTGTTCTGATACATTCTGATCCTTCCTGCCTGATGCTCATCTGGTTTTCCATCAGTTGAAATTCTTCAGTTGCATGTGTATGATTATTCTTTTAATTTTTGAACAGCTCAACGTGTGCTTAGAACCGATCTCATAGAGGATCAGGAGGGCTTCTTTATTGCTTTATTTGTCAGGAAGGGTGTTAGCCCTCCAGCCAAGCACATCAGAGATGTTGGAAACACATTACGAGCTCTTCAACGAAGAAAAAGGAGAAAGATAAATTCTTTCTTCCTCCTCAAAACTTTGGGTTTGTTATTGTAATAATAGGTTTACTTGTATCAATCATGCAATCGAAAAATGATAAAATCCTAGAGAAAAATTGCCAGAATTTGTCACCAGGTTAGAATGTAGTTTGGCCGAAGTTTTGTTTTATTCATTTCAGGTTTCTGGTTGTCTCTACTAAACAGTTAAATGTATACAACAAAAACTTTCTGGCATTTGATGCTTACATCAAATTGTATTTCTTTCTGCTTTTTTCCTTCTCAAAAAAATAATTAAACTTTCATTATTTCTCCATGACAAAAGAGTATTTGTATTTATTTATAGAAGAATAATATTTAAAATTTTAGCATAGTGAAATCTATTGATTGCCTGCTTTTAGATCTGTAGTCTTTGTTTTACTCCTTTCTGCGAATTACGTCACATGTAGATTTAGGAATGATTTTGTTGTAGTAGCTCATATATTGGCTTTGTACATTTTAACGTTATTAGCATGTTCATTAGTATTGTTTTTGTTCTTATATATAGAGTTTGTTCATGGTAATGGTTAGAAAATCAAATTAAAATTTAATCGATTTAAAAATTGATATTTGGTTTGATTTGTTTATTGATTTTAAATTTAAAAATTGATACTATTTGATTTGATTTTTATTTTACTAAAAAAAACTGATAAATTATATATATAAATTCTATAATTATTTATAAATAAAATTAACATATATTGTTTTTCCAACTCTGATTATTCGTTTGATAATTCATAAATAAAAATTACTTATAATATGACTTTGATTGAGAGAAAAAAATTCAACATGTTTAAGTAACTTTCTAAACTTCAGCTTGCAAGAAAACAAACCAATTGTAATTCTTCGATAATTTGAAATGCTAAAATAAAACAAACTACAGAGAACTTTATTTTAAAATACCAATATAATGAACGAATTATAAATCTACTAAAACTTAAACAATCTTCTAGATCTTCAAAATTAATCTCCTCCTCTGCAGCAGAATCGATGAATGAAAACGACAATGAGTCTGATACAGAGTGCAATTGAAGAAATTTTGATGAATATATCAAACATATGCGGTAAACAAGGTAGTGGCTTGATAAATGCAATGTAAAACATTAAAACGATTACAAATATTTTGATCAACGCATAAAATAGGGAAAATATCCAAGTACCCCCTCAACCTATGCCCGAAATCCCAGAGACATACTTATACTATACTAAGATCCTATTACCCTGAACTTATTTTATATGTAATTTTCTACCCCTTTTTAGCCTACGTGGCACTAGTTCGAAAAAAAAGTCAACCATCGTTGGGCCCACAAGATAGTGCCACGTAGGCTAAAAAGGGGTAAAAAATTATCAATAAAATAAGTTCAGTGGGGTAATAGGACCTTAGTATAGTATAAGTGTGTC